AAGCCCTACTGTACTACTTGTTCCCTCTATATAGAAAACAATGCCAAAAAGGTGCCCGTTGGTCCCCCATGATCCTCTTTTTCTTATGTTAATTGAGAGCTGAGTTGATGAGATAGCCACCCATCAGTGACCTTGCTGGGTGGTCTAATCCCTCCTGGCCAAACTAATACAGACGGGCTTTAATATAACTATAACTTTCTGAATAGTACTAGCGCATTAATTGTTTCTTTATTTTTTCGTTTCACTATCAGAAAGTGTATCGGATCATTTTTGACTTGGTATTTATTTAACATACAGTACTTAGAAGATGTACGGCTGTACAAATCAGAGCACTATACTGACTACACACGCCTAACAGCGCTGTTTTTCTATATTAATAATTCTTCTTCAGAAGAAAATGAAACTGAAACTTTTTAAGTCACCGTGACTCAACCAAAAATTCAAGTGTATTTCGACCCGTCCGGCTAAGCAGAATAAGAGGTATGGTATGAATTTTGCTATTAATCACAGAGTCGATTAATAATAATAATAACAATAATAGACATTTCTATAGCGCCGTCTAACTAGATAATTCTATTCCGACGCGCATTTAGTATTACCCCGGCTTTAGCCTAGCTGCCGTTTATACAGCGCTCCAGCATTCCAAAGAATTAATTCCTGCCAGGTACCCATTTACATCACCTGGGTTGAGTGTGGCAAATGTAGATCAAAGTCTTGCCAAAGGACATTAGTGCCGAGGCGGGACTCGAACCACGGACCTTGTGATCGACAGTCCGACGACGTATCCACTCGACCACGACACGCTTTTTTGGCCAGCAAAAGCGACACCGTGCCAGAAGTACATGGCATTTTCATTGAGAAACTCTTGAAGTCACCAGCTCAACCAAAAATCCAAGGACGTCACCAATATAGAGATTCTACGGGGAGGGTTTCATTATGAAAGAATTGAAGCGAGGTACATGTAGTAGACAATAAATGGAAGAGCCCCCCAAACCCCTAAAGGCCCGCCCCTTCCCATTATAACGGTGGCTTGCTCAGAAATGATGTCTCACATTTACATAAGTGTCTTAGATTTACATCCACTTTTATCGTTAAATCCGGAGCTCGGGAAAAGGATCGGGGAAAAAATAACATTCAAATTAAGACTAACGTTAACGAGGGCAACAAAAAATGTTAAGTTAATCCATCTTTTCGTTTTTATTATCTTATCTTTTGTACATCTCTTTCACCATATCAACAGCCAGACTTACTCTATTGGTGTAAACTGGTCTTTATAATCAGGCGGAAGCATGGGTAGATAAACCTCCTGCCACAACCTCACTCAGTTTCCTCTACTACAGGAAACACCACCACACTCATAAAACTCCATTTTAGTCTCTCTGACAAAGGCCCACCCCAGCGCCATTTTGAATTAGACATATTGTGTTGATAATACTACAAGGTTGTCGTTTACAACGCTTTTAAAACAAACTTCTAAACCCTAGCCTTAACAACCCGTTGTTCCTGTCTGTAATAGGCAACGATGGTCATTGTACAAATTTCCGATGACTTTGAAAAAGTATGCGCTATTTTTGTCTCACATGCTTGGAAAAAAAATGAAACACCAAAATAATGAATCGCAACTCCACTTTAGATCCTCTGATGAACCTCCTAGGCCGACCTTGCGCCATTTTGAATCATACCCGTTTCGATGGTACACCTGAATATCTACAAGGCTTTTCAAACTGTTCTTGATTACGTTCTAAAAACACACTCTCCATTAAGTCTCCAGCACCTGAGATTCAACTATCCGTTGTTCCTGTCTGGTTAACAACGCAGTAATAGTCAATGATGGTCATTACCTAAATTTCCGATGACTTTGAAACTAAAATAATGGTGCCATTTTTTGGCTACCATTCCTGAAGAACTGTACCATTGGAAATAGTATCACGAGGAATAAGATTTTTAGGAAAATTATGATTAATATTGACAAATAAAACTTCAGGAAATACCATCATCTGTAATCGGAAGATCTAAAGTTGACGAAGAAATTGCAAGATCATTTGAAGTTCCACTTTCTGTTTTGTGTTTATAAGTTTATGTTTCCTGTTTTCTTCTTTTTCTTCTTTTTCTTCTTCGTCTCCTTCTTCTTCTTGTTTCCTCTTCACCTTCTTCTTTTTCTTCTTCACATTATTCTTGGTTATTCTTGTTATTCTTCTTCTTTTCCTCCTCCTACTTATTTCACTTCTTCTTTTCTTCTTGTTCTTCTCATCCTTCTTGTTCCTCTGGTTTTTTTACTCATTATCATTGTTTTTGTTGTTGTACTCCTTCTTCTTCTTCTACTTAATCTTCTTGTTCTTGTTCGTGTACGTGTTCTTACTCCTCTCCTTTTTCTTCCTGTTCTTTGGTCATTTTGTATAATATGACCGACATGACTGGTGGCGAAAGTGTTTGAACGATCGTAGCATACAAGTTTTAATCATAATGCCCTTTATCTTACCCAATTTTAGACATTTTTGCTTTTTATTTGAATCGGGAAAAAAACGTTATAACAAACATATATCACTTTTGTTATGTTTTGGTCATATCCTCCTGGCTATAATAAAAGTATGGAGACTGTCAGAAGCTCTTTGTGAGGTATTCGAAGATACTGTGATGACCATTAATGCAAACATTTTATTCACGTTATAAAGAAACTTCATCAAGAACAGGGAATCGGTTTATACAATCTCTCTTCTCTAGCTCTCTCTCTTTTTTTCTTTTGTTATTTGAGAGAGGAGCCCATGCCCGACCCCGCCCGATTGCCCCTAGACATTTTTAGGTATACTTTGCAACCAAACGATAGCCAGTTCGAATATCAACATATAATTGTTGACAGCTGGTCACACAGCAGTAATGAGGGTCCCAAATAGACCAATCAGATTACTTCGCTGCTGCTCAGAGGATGCCGTGTATCATTTAAAAAAAGTAACTATAATCATTTCTAGTACAAGTCATGTTACATAACAAATTGTTGGCGCACACGATGCAATAGTATGGCAATTTACACGTATATCGGAGTTAGGCGACATTGCGTGACAAAATAGCAACTAGATATAAACGCAGGCCTCAACCTAATTTACAAATAGTACCAAAAAATAGAAGAAAAAAAAATAAAGTGAAAGGCGTAAATATTCTAAAAAAAGAATGAAACGCCGATAACACCAAACAACAACAACAACACACCAGAAGAAAATTATTCAAGAAAGAAAACAAAACGCACTGTTAAGTCTTTACCCAACCATAAACAATCCTTGTTTTTGTACATGTTTTCCAGTTGGTGGCAATGACAAAAGTGGTCAATGTTCATCTTTATCTATCAAGGTACATATACGTCATCAACGGTCATGGTAACACAAAACTCGTACTCTTAAGGTCTTAAACCACGCAGTCACAAAATGCTACTCATTATTTTTTATCATGTTGTACGTTTATGTAGGACGGTATTCATGAAAGTGTAGTTACTTTTGTCCAAGTTTAAAGTGGTCAGAAAACATAGATTAACGAACGATAAGCGTCAATCTCTTCATCTCATTAAAAAAATACATGTCTGTAACTTAATGAACATAGACGATGACAACGTGACATCAATCTTTCATTTCCATTTCGTGATTGCAATCATTTTCTATCATTCTGATTATTCGTTTTGTTATAGAATTCCACAGGCTTAATCCATTACATTGGTGGAGACGTGGAGTCAGTAAAACTGAGGCTTTGTAACAGTTTTGGGGGCAATCAATCGTAAAATGGCAATGACCAATCAAGAACATTGTTGCATGGACATCTTGTTTAAATATCTGACCCTGAACCAATCAGAATGGTTGATTCAAATTCATAATTGATAATAATACCGCCTTGGTTAGTTTACCCTACTCAGTACGAGCCAATGACACTTTTCCGTGGTTTACCTTAAAGGAACTCAATTTGGGAATATGCATATTTTGTTATTTGTTTTGTCATCCACTTCATATATCATCATGGTATAACATTGATCTGTCTTTACGTTAACTGGCTCTTATCTAAACTATACTTGACATGTTGTAGGTATGTTAATGAATTAGATTGCATGATATTATTTTCTCCCGTCTGTCTTATTTTATTGTTATTGTTATGGTCTTTATTTTATTGTTACGACCCCTCAGTATAGAACAGCCGCCCTGCAATGGCACAGCTGAGCAGGGTGTTCTTTCCAAAAATCACTTTGTAATATTGTGTCATTATCCATGTTTTTTAGTAGTCCATAAATGAATTCAATCGATCAATCTCACCAATCCTATTTGAAAAAATTGAGCGCTTTCTTGCTGTAACAACCATAACACAGCCTAATTTCGGAAGGAGCTTTGTGAGCAGGGTTTGTCTTTGTTTTTGTTTGTTTGTTTGTTTGTCTTTTAAATGTTTTTGTTTTTGTTTATGGGGGTGCTTGTAAGTAATTTGAAGTTTGAATGAAGGGAAATGCATCTTGGTGTCTTTGTGATGTAGCATGCTCAGAAGCATCTGTTCTTATTTTATTTCAGTTTCACGTATATACTTCAATTTTGTTTTTGTTTCATGAACTATACGTAGGGGTATATTTTGCTGCATAATATACAAATGATACACATCAGTGAAGGCATTAGTAAAAATTACCAAAACAAGGTACCTTTGGAACACTCTAACACGCCCGAGGCGATGCCGAGGGTGTTTGGACGGTTTTGAAGGTACAGAGTGTGGGTAATTTTACCAGTGCCCGAACAAAAATGATGTGTATTATTTGTTTTTATAAGTTTATGTTTAATTTGTTTTATAAAATGATGTTGTATAACATGATTTTACTAATGACCGGTCATTATCATTTTATAATGACCGGTCATTATCAAAGTTACATGTTAGGCAAAATAAATGCCTCGGGGTCACGTGTACGCTCTCAACCAATCATTTTATTAGGATCCACGTCATCATCTTATAAATGAGGATAATGGTAGAAACAATGTAATCAAATTTACCATCTCTATTGATCTTGACCGTCATGACTTTATGAGCCTCGTCGAGACCGTGGCAGGAGTAGACGCCATACCGGGTATCTGCCCAGCTGGCGTTCCAATCCGCTACCAGATGACCCGGGTCGACCAGGGAAGGAGCGGCTGGGACGGGTAGCCCTTCGTCCGCTGGTAGCACCTTCTGAACAGACAGCTCATCTCCGCTTAGCTGCCCGCTCGCATCGAGGCATACCAACCGGGTGACGGCTCCCGTCACTAGCGGCGTGGAGTTGATGATGACGATTTCTTCTCCATTTGTTCCTGCAAGGGTGTCATATTTTGAGATATTAATTCGTACAACGTGATTTTTTGGAAAAGAAGTATACAAAAATACATATCAAACTTAATATAGTTTATTTCAAATGCACATGTAAGATGATGTCCTGCCTGACATCCTTTTCTTCTTCTTTTTTTTTCTAGCTCACATTCTCTCTCTGTTTCTCACATTATCCCTCTTTCTCTCTCTCTTTCTCTCTCTCTATCTCTTTCTCACGCACTCTCTCATCTAGTGTTTCTCAACCACACACACTCTATCTATCCCACTCTCCATCTCTCACTTAGGCCTATACTTCTTTGGTTTCAGTTGTTACCACTGTCTTTGTCTGTCTTATCCTCCTTTATCCTACACTCTTAGTTTATTCCTATTATATCATTGATCACCTGATTATCCTTCTCTTTATTAGTTTACTTTTGATTTGACAATAGTGAAGGCCTATTTATAGGGACGTGTGGAAAGCTCAGCAACATGCCATATAATTATAATAAGAACTCTTATTTCTAAACTCAATTACTGCTACATCATAACGCTTTCGCCCTTTGAGGTCATTTATCTTAGATTTTGTCGTGGCTTTAATTGGGCCTCCATCCACTATTCATCCCTGTCTCATTATCTTGCTCCACTATGAATTGAAATACCAATAAATGGGACATAATATATCAGAACGAAAGATTCAATATCGACCTAAAATCAAATTAGTATATGATTGTCACTTATTTTAGTTTTGTCAAGACATATACAAATTGTGTGCATATAATAGTCATAATGTACTTCCGATTTTCAAAGTGTACGAAACTTGCTGAGAACACAATCGTAAAGCCTTTCGAAAAGTCAAGTTAAGGTTTTTTTTTTGTGTATAGCCCGTGTCAATCTTCATTGAATTATATGAACATTACCAATTACGTAGGCACATGATTCCAATACGATATACAAATGGTATTGAAATTGCTCTTGATTTGTGGTTGCAATTAAGTGGGGAAACTGATAACACTTCCCGGTTCGACAAGCGAATATAGAACTTTTTGGTATGTGTGTAGCTTGTCGACTTTCTGCAGGCAGACATATTTTTTTTCTCATATCACCTTTATCTTGCAAAAATATAGGGCACTACACAATACGTCAAATTATATGTTTTCAATAACGATGTACAGGAAAGTATATTAAACTATACAATAAAAGACATAGTACATAATATACATTGACAAATAATTATACATCAAAAGTAATCATATACTGTACATGAAAAATATGCAAAACGGTATACATATACAAGCATCTTAAAAAGGTATATTTGAAGAGTTACATATAAGGTGCACTGGGCTTTTGGAAATATGCAAATATATCATTTTCAATTCATTCCACTACGATCACCGGCGATATTATTTACAAGAGGGAAAATTAAGAGAATCGTATGTTATACTTACGAGAGTACTGGGCAATTATCAAAGCGAAGAGAAGAAGGCATGGTCCACGTATCCACCTCATCGTGATCATGGTCCAAACAAGGAATAAAATGCTTATCCAAACCGATGAGAAGATTTCTTTATTCCATACAAATCTGACGTAAATATATCGAATTGATTCCCGATACTCACAAAAACACAATCGTCCACTATCATTCGTATGGTTTAACTGTCAATAAGACATTTGCAAACACTCTGTCAAACACAAGATTGAGTAAAACAATTTTCTGCGATTTTGAAAGCTAAAACAGTCCCATGAGAAAAGTTTTGAAGCGTCGCGAGTTTGACACAACATCAGCTGTAAACGTGACGCGGTCAGGGGAAACTCAATAGCGTATTAATGCACCAATTGGTGGTGTGATGCACTCGTCTAATATCCAATAAAATGTCTCCGAATATAGCTTTTTAGTAATGGATCCCGGGTATGAACGAAAGGCTGTCTATGGGTTCGAGTAATCTGGTAAGCTCGCTAGTGGTGTCGTCTGGTTCAGAGGGTGAAAAGACTGATATGAACACTTCCTGGTAGTAGTTCCGGGAAATGATGCAGATTGTCATGGCAACGGTAGACCACCCCTCCATATTAGCCCTAATTAGCCTTTTTTTTCCTCTCATGCTATTTTTTAAAATAAATTTCAAACATTCTCTTTTTTCTCCAGTAATCCAATATTCATCTTTTCGTTATTGTTGTTGATATTCAATTTCTGTAATTTTTTTACCTATATGCTAAGAATCCTGATAAATATCATCTAATCTTTGATAGATATGTTGCAATAAATGCATATCTTCTTGTCTTATAATGGCGTTCACGTCTTCATCTCATTTTCTATAAATGAATATAGTCACTACATGGGTTGTCATTCTTATTTATGATCACGAAAGACGGAATCATGTTAGGAGAATTATGGTTTATCTTTAAACGTTTTGTTTCAATTGATGAATATAATTATTCTTGTCTTATATTGCCTTTCATGTCTCTATCTAGTTTCATATGAATGAATGTAGTCCATATATGGGTTGTCATTTCTTTGTATAATCATTCAATGAACAAAACGGATGTATACTCGGAGCACCGCCCCTTCAAGTATGCCATTCAACGTGTGCCAAGTTTGGGTTTTTGCTCTCGTTTACTCACTTGCTATGCAATAATATCTATCTGTTCTTTATTTCATTCATTCATTCTCTCTCTCCCTCTCTCTCTGTCTCTCTCTCTCTCTCTCTTTCTCTTTCTCTCTCTCCCTCTCTCTCCCAGTCCCACCTTTTTTTTTATCTCTCTCTTTCGCTGTTTCATACTCTCTCTCTCTCTCTCTCTCTCTCTATGACTTTCTCTTTCTATCTTCTTCATCCATATTCTCATCTCATAGTCCTCTCCTTTTTCTTATGTTTAATCATTCTTTTATCTTTAGTTTCTTCATCTTCTCTGCATCTTCTTCCTTCCTGCAATTTTCTCTCTTCTCATCCTCCTCCTTCTCCAACTCTTTCTTTCCCTTCTTCACTTTCTTCGTTCTTTCCTCGTCTTCTTCCTCTTCTCTCCGGGCCGGTCTTTTAAACAATTTTATCTTTCTCTTCTTTTCTCTATAACCATCTCCTTTCTCTTCCTCTTTCTCTTCTCTTCTTCTCTTTCTTTCTCCTTTTTCTATTCTCTTTTTATTCTTCTTCTTTTTCTTTTTCTATCTTCTACTTCTTCTTGTTCTTCTCCTCCTTTTCCCTCTTCTTCTTCAAGATGGTAGAACAAAATTATATTTGACGATACGCTATTATTTTATGCAGGTATTATCACTCTAAATGCTTTTAAGTTTTGCAAGTTATGTGGTTCAGTCATGTGTACATCCTATAAGAGTGATTATTCGTTAGTTGTTTGAAATTAATGTTAAATGGCCGTTTTTAAAATGTCTGTATTTTATGTTCACTAAATTGTTTTATATTCCTGGTGTATTTATGTAAGTCTAAAGGGCTGTCTCATTGGCAACAGAAATAACAAAATACATCAAAACAAGGAACAGAAATAATAGTAAATTGCTAACGCATAGGCTAGACATGTTTTTTTTTGCAAAACAGCGAATGTCCGTAAGTGTGCAACGATGGCTTATTTATTAATCAAAATAATGTTGACGACGGATTTAGTCAAAGAATGAGGCATTATTTGTCCTACAACTGGCATAAAAATATATCATGAATTTCTCCAAAGAAAATCCTCTATTTATGAAATGATTGTGACGAAATAGTTTAGTCTTGATCCACAAAATGTATATCTTCTCAGAAATGTGTTGATCAATCTCTAAGACTCTTTAGAATTATAATCAATCAAGGTCTAAAAGTTATAAACTTCATCTATCAACAAAAAACAATATTGGCATAATGATTTATTTAAAAGAGATGCGAACAAATTATTCCATCTCTATGGGCAACAGTGAATGTACAACTCCTGACGATGAACCGGGCATTTCGTTAACTCAGAATTAAAGATGACGTTGAGTTCTGTTCATGCGATTGCATCGTGAAAGAAACGGTGTGGAATCGACCAGAAAAGGTTGATCATCTAGCATATAAGAATTTGTGTGTATTGCAAGGTTCTGAAATCATCAAAATGATAAGAAATTTGGCCAAGTCTTGGTAAAGTTACAAACACTGTACACAGAAAGATGTATATGGGACTACACGAACACGTGGCGTAAAAGTCCTACCCCCGAGTTTTACGATGTTACATGACATATTTAGAATATGAAGGCATTTGAAGGGCCATGCTTTTCAGGGAACATGTATTATCTGATGTTCTTCCACACTTGCACAATAACAATGATAACGCTCACAAATTATGTTTCACCTCTTCCCAGAGCTCAACCCTCTCTTTAAGAATTATAGATACAATGGAAAGGCCCTCAAAGGGAATCTATCTTGGTCATTTTAATGAAATTCCTCTCTATTCTGGGTTAATTCGAATCTAAAATCCTTGAAAGATTGACCCCTACTGACATGACCCAATTACTTACCCAATACTCTACATAAAGATAATAAAGAAATATTCCCTCTAGTCCCTCTTATATACTATACCCATACCAATTATATGAACTTTTGTCGATCACGAAATTTTCAGAATGAATTAATACATATTCTTGGAATGAACTGCCGGAAAATATACTGGCGGCCCCTTAAAAAAGAAATTCATTTTTTTTTATAGAAACACTGCCCATGATAAACTATAAGGGGCATGCTCTGTCACTCTTATCTATTGTTTTGACTCGCTTCTTCTTCCTCTTTTTCTTCTTCTACTTCTTCTTCTTCTTCTCTCCATTTCACCTATCCCATCTTTCTTTTCCTTTCTCTCCCTCTCTTCCACGCTGCATAGACACATATTTTTGAACAAAATACTGAGCTATATCTTCTTTCTCCTTTGCTCTTCCTCTTCTTCTTCTTCTCTCCCTTTCACCTATCCCTTTCTCTTTATTTTTCTTTCTCAACCTTTCTATTTATGAACAAAACACTGCGCGAAAAAAATGGTTATTACTACTATCATCACATTAAACTATCGTGTTGTTCCTTATCAAGTGGAATTGTCCAGTGTCCATCAGAGCATTACTCATCATCATAGAGTTACGATCGATCAAGTAGATATTGATGAAATCTAGTGTATATAACTGATGACGTGCTACGTTGCTTGTTGATTCTGGTGTAAGAGAAAGGAAACAGGAAGTGATCTGCAGGATGACCCCGTATCCGGTTCATATCGGCCACTCTCAATGTGTACTCTAAACCTGTTTATGAGCCTTCAGGCATGTCGGGCTGGAGATTTGTGTGTGTGTGTGCGTGCGTGCGTGCGTGTGTGTGTGTGTGTGTGCATGTGAGTGTGAGAGGGTGTGTGTGCGTGCGTGTGTGTGCGTGCGTGTGTGTGTGTGTGTGCTTTGGTCGTAATTCAGTCTTCATCTGATACGATTGATTGAAATAATAATTGACAGGCTGTAGATATTATTCTGGAATCACTATTTGATAGATTTTCTATAATGCATCGACAAAAACAAAATCGCAGAAGTAAGCACACACAACGCCAACGCTTTGCTTTCGCTCCACTTGTCTGCTGCAAAAAAAAAAAAGAAGGATTTTACTGATATTTGATATCACAATAACATACATACAATACATATTGATATTTATATACCGCCTTTACATAAACATGCTCAGAGCAGCCTAATGGTTTTTAGATATCATCCAAGCGAATGTTACGATATGTTGTGCCTTTGTAATAATTGGTTTTAAAACATTAGGGATAATAATAATAATAATATTCCGCTTTTATATAGTGCTTAATACATCTACGATGTCTCTAAGCGCTTTACAGATATACTATTACCCCGGTCATGGGATTCAACGCTTGCCCGCAGACATTGTGTGCACAATCTCCACTCCCTGGGGAGTATTCCAGCCAGGCGTTACTGGACGCTCAAAACTGTTTGACCAACAATTGCGGTCGCATCATACCGGGTACCCATTCAACACCTGGGTGGGGTGTCGCAAGTGCTGGTTAATATCTTGCCACAGGATAGTAGTGTCGTGTCGGGATTCGAACCCTCGGCCTTCGCTTCTCCAGGGATATACGTGGTCTTGAGTGCCGCACCGTCACCTCTCTGTCTCTGCCTACACAGGAACATACTGTGATGGACCCGGGTTCGAAACTGATGTTGAGTCGCATCTGTGTGCAGGGCTATATATAATAAAGAAAAGGAGCTATGTGCGACAGTTAGGAGGAACAGATGCAAAAACAAAACCCCTTTTCCTCCTCCCAGATCCCTTTACTATATCCCCAAACCCCAGCTGCAAAAACTTGATGTATTTCCCTTTGGGTGCCAAAACATGGGTCGGTCGATCGGAAAAGATTTTTTTTTTTTTTTAAACTTTTTTTTGTCGCCCTCTTTGGGCCGATATTTTTCATATTTGAATGTTGTTATTTTGTCTTCTTTTTCCGCCCTCTTTTGGCTGATATTTCTCAGTTTTTAATGCTTTAATACATGTATTTCAACGTCATCATTGCATTGATATCTTTTCCACTTCATAATTATCCATGGTTTGCACGAGTGAGAATATGCATTTATATCCCGTTTAAACAAACAATGTACTTTTTTTTTTTATTCATTAATTTAAAAAAAAATCTAAAAAACGGTTAATCTTTTATTTTTCTTTAAATGCCGACCGTAGATTTTCAGATTTTTGGTTCGGTCGCAAAGGGCAATACAACAAGTTTTTATTTTAGGCCTTTAAATCTCAAGGTCGTGAGTTCGGGCCTCGTACAGGGGCAGGTTGCTGGAAATATACCTTTTGCCTTCACTTCGTATTTCATAATTTCCCTAATTTATACATTCGGCTATCTTTATGGATGGCCACTGTCGTGTTGGTTTCAGTTTTGAAATTCAAATCCGTCTCCGTCCTGCCTCTTTCCCTTTCTCCCAGCTATAATACACGTATGCTCGCCTCGCAAAGCTTGCCTGTAGCTGTTGCATATTCATGAGTTGG